ATGACACCTTCCCCAAACCACCCCGTCCGAAAGAGCTGCAGTGACACAGCTCTCAATGCCATCGTCACCAAGGATGCCGTGAGCCGGCACGAGGGCAATTACACACTGCATGCCAACAACGTGCGCAAACGGGGGATGTCCATCCTGAGGGAGGTGGACGAGCAGTATCATGCCCTGCTGGAGAAGTACGAGGAGCTCCTGAGTAAGTGCCGGCAGCACAAGGACAGCGTGCGTCACACAGGGGTGCAGACCTCCCGCCCCATCTCTCGTGATAGCTCCTTCAGAGACTTCCGGGGAGAAGGGTTTGAGTTGGAAGAGCGAAAATCCATGGAGAAGACCATCAGCAAACACGTGGAGGCCGTGGACAAGCGGCTGGAGCAGAGTCAGCCCGAGTACAAGGCTCTGTTCAAGGAGATCTTCTCCCGCATCCAGAAAACAAAAGCGGACATCAATGCCACAAAGGTGAAAAACAAGAGCAGCAAATGAGCCCTGCCACTCTGCAATCCCCGCCTGCTATCCCAACAGCCGAGTCTTCTCTTCAGCTCCAGGAAACGTCACCAGCCCCACTGCTTTGAAGGTTTGAGAGGCCTCGTGGTATGTTCTTGTATGGGAAGGGAGCGTCCATCGTATAATTGCAAGGAAATGTCACAGAGACTCAGTTCGTGTTTTTAAGCTTGGGCTCTGGTGACTTGTTGGACAAACTGTACATTGTAGTTAGAGGATTTCAGAATCTGTATGATGGATCTCTGCATGAGACAGACTTCTCAATAGCAACAGAAACCCCACCACAAAGAACTGTTCACCTCCCCCATCCTTTTCAGCTCGTCTTACAGTCCAGTTACATGCGAGCAAAAGCCTGGATGTCCTCCAGCACTGCAGCAGCCAGAGTTTGGCTTCGCAGCAAAGCAGTATGAACCATCAGAACTTCAGGGGCTGCTCAAGAGCACCAGCCCAAGCCTTCACATTGGTTTTATGGCTAAGAACCTACACTTGTACCCAAGAGAGCTACCCCCACCTTTCCCCTTCCCCATAGGGCAGTTTGTTCTTGCTGTCCAAGCCATTCTCTTGTCAGTCAGGTTTTTCAGCTGTTTACAATGCAAGTTCATTGCGACTGGAAAAACTTGAAGAGAAACATAGAATTGATTATTCTGTCTTCATCAATATCACCTAGTAACTCACTCCACACCCTCCAGACTTTGTAGGCATATGGGATTTCCTCGCTTTAAAACTCTCTCAGTATTTCATCCCAGATGTATCACTGTGCCTGGCAGGAACTTGATTACCAGGGCTTTCCCATAAGCTAGATAAGAAGTGCTGTTACAGTTTCAGAGACATGCTTTCACCTCACTGTCCGGGTACCAGCCCTCTGCACTGTGCTATCCAACAGGATGTCACTGCCTCCAACGCAGCAAGCTCCTCCAGTACAGCTTGCATGGGCTTGCAAAGCTACCTAGCAGTGACTCAGTGCAAGTGGTAAAGCACCACACTCGTACAGCATTGGGACCGCTGGCCCAGGCAGTGCTGATCACACATTGCCCTACACTTTTGCTCTGTGTTCACAGTCAAGAGGACAGATTTCAGTCTTCTGTTGAAAATAATCTATCTTGGCTGAGATACTGTCTCCAAAGGTCATCACCTCTCATGTTCCAGCTCACTTTCCAGCACTGGAATCTCTTCACTTTTGCTTCCGCAGACATGCAAACACAGCCAAAGTGCTGCTGCAGTCTCAGGAATCATCACTTTCCATTTTTCATAAACCAGAAGCTGATCTTGTTTGAACAGACACATGTTTTAGGCAGAGAAGCAGTATTTCGTCACAGCTTAGGCAACACCCCGAGCACTGTGCCACAAGAAATGAGCAGTTCAGTGTAAGCTACCTATTCTGTGCTGGCCCGGAGAAACTGTAGGCCAAATTTGGATTCTGTTTTCACCAGCTTATATCCCAAAAATTTGGGTAAATAGTTGGGATTTTTGCAACATTTATTTATGTCAGTCTCAATTTGGCTTTGGAGGGGGAAGACTGTTAAAACTGAACTATCCTCCAGGTCTCAGGACTTGACACTATGAAGAGCTACCTTTCTTTCACTCACAACGGAATTCATGCAAAAAATACCCCTCCGTCCTTTGTCTTTCGTTAAGCTGAGTACCGCTGAGGCCAGTCGGCAGGGGGCGATGCCCAAACCCACCTGCTCCAGAAGCCTCCTCTACTCCCCACCACCAAACGCTCCTTGCTTCCACGCTCTGCATCTTCAGGTGCCCTGCGGCCCCCGGCTCAAGAAAATTAGGAGCCATCAGCACGATTGTGGCTACCAGCTCTACAACAGTATGAGAACCTTCATGCCTTATTTATTTATAATGGAAAGCAGTTGACTAAAAATAAATAAATAAACAAAATGAACAATGGCAACAAAAGCTGCATCCCATTGATTTTCTCAGTGTCCCCCAGTTTCTGTTCTATTACAGGAGCTGGCATGACCAGCTCCAGTGCCCTCGTGCACTTGTACCAAGGGATCTCTGAAACAGTGTCATTTTAAGTCAGCCAGTGCTTCCTCTGCAATCACCTGCCTGTTGCAGATGCGTGGGAAGAGGACTGCCTTCACTTTCCATTTTAAACCATAGCGTGTGAATCAGCATCCCAGTTAAGCATACATCAGATTAAATACATTTTCAAACGCTTTTTTCTCAGATAAAAAGAAACACTGTTACTCTCAGACTTTCTTTAAAGCCCTTTTTACTTTTAGGTCCAGCACAACAATTATGTCTTTGATTACCATGTACGATTTGGGTCAAGTAACTGCTTCAGGCTTCTTTGCAGAAAGCAGAGGGACATGCTGAACTACACTGCTGCATTATTTATACCATGCGCATGTTGCACTTGGACTAGGAGCATTTGCCACATGATGAAAACACTCTTCTGTTAGCTCAAAAGTTTATAAAACTGCATCATTTCTAAACTTGTAATTCGAATGTTTTTGTCTGAAAACCAGACATCAAAAAATGGCTGATGTAAGGAACAGGATATTGGCGAAAGAAGCAGCTGCAGTTTGTTCAGCAAAGTGCTGAGGGCATTCTTTCTGCATCCAAAAATATGAGTGGCCATATATATATGTCCTGATGACTGTGCGATTCAGAGTCACTCGGTTATTTTTTTTCTTAAATTAGACTTTCAGCAATCAAAGGAGGAAAAAAATAAGCATGTTTTGACCTTTCATCCCACCTTCTATTTAAACTTTGAAAATTCCAAAGAAAACTCTACATCTTCATTACAAGAGGTAAGAGTAGTGTTAAATAACCACATTGCTGCAGAGACTGGTCTAACGAAAAGCAGCAGCTATTTAATAGCACACCCCAAGAATCGGGACAGGAAGAGAACAAGAGCATATCCAACTATAATGAGCAGGTACAACAAAATAGGAAACTACTAATTTCAGCATTCATCAAAAGTAATCCCCCTGTTCAGATCACAGAACCGAGGTTAATAAGGATACAGCTTGTCAAGAATTCAGTTTGAACGGAATACAGAAGGTGACTTTAAGACAAGCACACTTCCATCAGTCCAGTCATCCAAGCAGAGCTCATTCTGCTTTTTCAAAGGCTCTCTGGGCACCTGAGCCATCCAGCAGTGTGGGAATGAAGCACGAGCAGGGCTGCCCCTTTCACAGAATCACAGAATGGCCCAGGTTGGAAGGGACCTCAAGGATGACGAATCGCCAACCCCTCTGCCACATGCAGGGCCACCAAACTTCACATTTAGGATCAGACCAGGCGGCCCTGGGCCCCATCCAATGGCCTTGAACACCTCCAGGGATGGATGGGGCATCCGCAGCCTCTCTGGGCAGCTGTTCCAGCACCTCACCACTCTCATAGCAAAGAACTTCCCCGACATCCAACCTAAATCTTCCCTCCCTCAACTTAACACCATTTACCCTTATCCTGCTGTTATCTACTCTTCCAAAGAGTTGATTTCCCTCTTGTTCAAAGGCTCCCTTTAGGTGCTGGCAGGCTGTCTCACTGTGGTTGCACGACCTTCACGCCCCGTCCGCAGCCCTGCCGCACACCGCACAGTGACGCCTTTCTTGGCACCCCACCAGCACAGCGGTAACGCTGACGCGTTTAATGGCAGTTGGTGAAAAGCTTCGGAGGTCTCACCCACCCTCCGGCAACAAATCCCAGCAATTTACCAGTTTCCTCCTCTAAATTAAGGTCACCAGATGGCGCGGTCTCTCTCTGACGGTTCTGCTCTTTCTCCTTCAAGCTTTCCATTTTCTGGCCGGGGAAGCAGAGCGGAACCCATCCTCACCCCCTGGCCCGTGGTTCAAACCCAGAGATGCGGTCACGCTGGAGCACGGCGCTGCCAGCTCCCCCAGGAGCCACCGACCCTCACCCCTCAGCCCCCCTCGGGGCTCAGAGCTCCCACCGCCCAGCTGGAGCCCAGCCCCGCGCAGCGCCGTGCCGCTTTTAAGCACCGTTCTGACTTCGCGCACAGGTTTCCAGGCACCGCCGTCGGCACCCGACAAAACACCGGTGCTGACGGCAGCCCCGCGCTCTGCCGGAGCGCCTTCCCGGCGCCAGAAGCTGCCGCTCCTGCCCGCGGTCACGAGGCGCAGCTCAGCAGCCCTCGGCTGCCGGCTCCGCAGGGCTGCGCTGCCCTCGTGCTCCGCTCCCCCCCCAGCACCTCTCCTCCACATCTGGGAAACGCGTCAATAAAGGTTACGGTACACGCGCACAGGTGCATAGATACACACTGATCGCGTACATGAATTTTTCGCTCCTCCAACGTGCTCCGAGGAGCTGCCGCACCGAGCTAAAGGCGCCTCAACCGCCTCCTGGCGCCTTCCACGCCCCTCGGCAGGCGGCCCGGCCGCACAGCGCGCCCGGGCACCGCGCGGCCCCACGAGGCCCCGGAACGCAGCGCGCGGCCGCCGTTTCCAGGGGACGCCGTTCCGAAGGGCGCCGTTTCCAGGGGACGCCGCGCCGCGCCGCACTGTGGAAGCACCAAGATGGCGGTGCGCGGGCCCTGGGCGCTGCGGTTCCTCACCGCCCGCTTCTCGCAGCGCGCCGCCGCCGGCACCGAGTTCCGCAGCGCCTACAGCTTGGACAAGTTGTACCCGCCGCGGGACGGCGGCACCGCCAGCGACCCGGCGAGTGGGACCGGGGTCGCGAGCGGGTGGGATTGGGCTGAGCTGGGCCCTGGGGCGCAGCGCGGCCTCGGCGCGGTCACCCCGCGGCAGGCAGGGCCAGGCCCGAGGCGCCCGTGAGGCTGCCCCGCCGCCTCGCTCACCGCCTAACGCTACTTCCCTCCCCTTCCCTCGTGTTTTCCAGGAGGAGGCCAGGCCAGCGGCCCTCAACATCCCCATGGGTGAGTGTCACGGCTCAGCAGAACTGACCCCAAGCGTTTGTGGCCCGTGAAGGCACGTGGCACGACAGCACAGAGCCGGCACCGCGTTGTGGGCTCCGTGTGCTTTAAGAGCAGGTCGCCCATTTTTGCTGTCCTCTTGATGAATAGCAAATATTTAGAAAATGTGATTTAAATTGATTGACTCTAGAAAAGTCAGCGCTCAGTTTGAGCTGAAAGCACCGACAGCAGGCTTCTTTCAGCCTCACGTGCAGCATTTTGGGATGTTGCTTACCCCTGTTCCCCGCCACAAAGCTAAGGGCAGCACGGTGCTGTTCTCTTCCAGACCGACTGACTGTATCCTACAGCCGGAGCAGTGGCCCTGGTGGGCAGAATGTTAACAAAGGTATGAAAGGGGTTCTCGGACTTAAGGAAAAGTCCCAGTCAGCATCCAAGCCTGAAAGCTGTTTCTCTGTTCTCTACGGTAAAATATGAGCCTGAAATTAAAAGAGCACCTTTGTACTGTCTAATGTGAGTTTTTCATTATTACTTACATTTTAACATTTTACATTTTAACAACTCCTTAGTCTTTGCAATGCCTGAGACAAGTGCTAGCAGTCATTCTCCCAGAAGCATTCTTACTGTGTCACGAGAAACATCACTTCTGTAATCTGTTTTCACTGAGCATGCAGTAAGCCAACTGGATTCTTCAGCTTTCTATGCAGTAAACTGTTTGCTTAACTCAAATAAGGAAACAAAAAATATTTCCTCTTCTGCCAGGTAGGTATTGGCTAATAATTGCAGTAAATTTTATAATGTGTAGAAGTGCAAATACCATAAAATTGTCTTTTAGAATAGTATGCAAAAAAAAAAAGTAGCAAGAAATAAATTGTGATCCTTCAGGAAATTTACACTGGTATCAGAATATGTTCAAAGTCAGCAGTGAACAGACTGAACTGCCTCATAAAACCCAGGAACGCCATCTATTGCATTGAAAAGGTCCTGTTTTTCCTCCCAGTGAATACCAAGGCAGAAGTCAGGTTCCACCTGGCATCAGCAGACTGGATCCCAGAAGCTGTAAGAGAAAAAATGGCATCAGTGGTAACTACCCTCTCCCCTACAACACTTCACAGTTCCAGCAAAAATTTGACAAGTCTAACAAAGTTTCAGTGATCACAGCATGCTTTTCCCTCCTCAGCACAGAAATAAGATAAACCGAGCTGGTGAGCTGATTGTGAACTCCGAAGAGAGTCGTTACCAGATGAGGAACCTGGCGATTTGTTTAGAAAAAATCAGAGTCATGGTCACAGAAGCTACTGAGAAGCCCAAGGTGGTGTCTAAGGAGACTGCACAGCAACTCATAGCCAGGTACCATTGTTGAGATTGCCTTTATTTGCACTCTTCACTGGGGAGGGAAAATAAAAGAGATACGATTTACTGTCCTTTCTAGAAGCAACTCGATAAAGACAACAGTAGGATCTTCTGGTTAAAATGCCCATCAGGGACAAAAAATTATCTTCTCAGGAAACATTTAAATGTGATTTAATGGCAGATATTCAGAGTTTTTCTTTAAAAAACTAAACAAAACCAAGAACGGGGGATGTCCAGTGCCTGTGGACATTTGTCAACTCTTAGCTGAGCATTTATTAGAGGGTTTGTTGCTTTTTTGTGTGTGCACTAAAGAATCTTTTCATTGTGTTTTAGGGTAGAAAAAATGAACCGTGAACGATTAAGACAGAAAAAGATACACTCAAATATAAAACAGAGCAGGAAGGCAGATTTTGACTGAGAGCAGAGGTGGAAGTCTTTCGTGTACTGCCTTTATAAGGAAATATTGTTGGCAACAGTAGATGATACTAAACTGATCTGGTAAAGTCTGTCTAAAAATGCAAATAAAAAACATATTTATAATCTGCTGACCTCTTGTGCTTCGTCCAGTCCTCTGTATCTTTCTAAGAGCTCCCTCTGCTGCTGAACGTACAAGCAGCAATAGATCGGGTGGGAAAGAAAGAATAAAAGCTTTGTGTCTTCAAATACAAATAACAATTCACCATTTCAAGCAATTTACTCAGATTTTAGTTAGCTGACTTTTTTTTTCCTACCAACTAAGAAAAACTAGGCTTTAAAGCCTAAAGCCACGGCAGGAGGTCAGCAGGAGGGAATTGCGCTCTTTTCAGCACTTATAGACAAAAACCATCCTCTTAAGTGCAGGGGTGATCTGGTCCTTGAAGCGCAGCTTCGTGAAGCCTCAGACAAAGCAGCTTTAAGAGCCGTGACCGGTACCGACCTGAGCAGCACGAGCCGCACGGTGCCCCTGGCGCCCGCGGTGCTGTGGCAGCACGAGGTCCGGCTGTTCCACCGTATGGGGCGGCGACTCATAAAGGCACTGAAAGCACGCATTTTTTGTCACCTTGCAGGGCCCCAGTGGCCTAATGGATAAGGCACTGGCCTTCTAAGTCAGGGATTGTGGGTTCGAGTCCCACCTGGGGTGAGCGGGGGTGGTGTCCTCTTTTAGGCAAGGAGGGAAATCTCTGCCCTGGCCCTGAGGTTCGCAGCTCTGAACGCAGTTCAGGCCGCTGCCTCCATCCCATCTCTATGCACAACCTGCCAAGAAACAGGAGCAAACGAAACACAAATTCTTTCCTCCAGCCCTTGCAGGAACCCAGGGAGGTAACGCGGTCATTTACGATCATTCCTGCTGCCTCAGCGACCACAGAACGTCGTTGCTCACGACAGGATTTTGGAGGAGGCGGGCCGCTAACTTTAAACAACCTCAGACCACGGTGGTGCAGGGGGGGAACCCCGGAGCGACCGCGATGGAAAAGAAGACACCGAACTGCTGCTGCGCCCCGGCAGTACACGGGAGGGGAAAAGATCCACCCCAGATGGGACTCGAACCCACAATCCCTGGCTTAGGAGGCCAGTGCCTTATCCATTAGGCCACTGGGGCTGCGCGGGAGCATCCTCCGGTGCTCCTGGTTAACTCTCTGCTGGCCGGGCGGACGCTGCGCCCACGGCGCCAGCACGCCGTTCAAGGGCTCCGCGCCTCCTCCCGAGCAGCGCGGCTCTGCTCCCGGTAACAGCACGGGAGCTGCTGCGAATCGCACAGGCGGAGGTGTGAGAATCGACGAGACCGCAGCGAGAACGGGGCCAGCAAATACCAGAGCCCCCCGCACTGAGCCCGCAGGTTAAAAAAAATAAAATAGGCCAAAAGGAAAGGGAAGAGAAAGGCACAGAAGCCGTGCGGCCTCACGGTGTCTGTCCTGCCCCAGGGCCAGAACGGACAAAGCGGCAGGGTTCGTAGACCGAGTCTCCGACGGAGTAAAAGCCCGGTTCCGCCCGCCCCCCTCATAACGTTTCTTGCCGCCCTAAGAGAACACAACACCAACCCCACCACGCACCTGAGCGGCCCCAGCCTTTTATCGAAACTGGCCACAGCTGGGAGCGGAGCTCCGGGGGCCACAGCCTACCCCAAAACCGGGCCTCTGCGCTCATTGGCGGTCCCTCCTCTCGCGGCAGCCAGCGCCGCAAGGATACCTTCAGCTGAGACCAAACGATTGAGTGATTTAAAACAACCACGAAGGGACTCGAACCCTCAATCTTCTGATCCGAAGTCAGACGCCTTATCCATTAGGCCACGTGGTCCCCTCACCCTCCATTTTGGGAACAGTGACAGACACCGACGGCCCCAATGGTTACACGCCCCCCAGCACTCACAGACGTACCTCACATCCCCATTCCCTGCCTCCAGGAACCACCGTAGCCCTCCCAGGCGAAAGCTGGTGACAGCAGGAAGCGGCAGGAGGTCCCCACGGGACATCATAGCACCCACCCCGCCCCGCCCCCTTTTGCGGCTGCACGGCACAGGAGTCCCACGGGCGGTACGCAGTGTTCTCTGCGGCTGTTCAAACCGTGCTTCTGAGGACGGCAGAAATCCAGCACACAAATGCAATCCGAAATCTGGGGCACAGGAGCGCGGGCGCTCTGATCTCCGCGGCCACGCAGCTAGACTTCAGCCAGCGTGCCGGGGGGGGCAGCACCCACAGACGTGCGCCGCGGTCCGCGTGGCCTCTCGTGCAGCACGCCGGACTGCAAGGAGGGATTCGAATCCACCGCTAGGGAATCAGTCACCGCAGAATTCCTGTGCTTATCTTTCCCGGCGCTGTTTTATTCCCTCTGCGCACCCTAATCCGCGCCCACCGGCTGGTAGTGCGGCTACTGGGAGCGGCACACGCGCGGTCTCCTCCTGCCAGAAGCTCGGCCCACAGGTGGTGAGGGAGACAAACAGCAGAAGCTGTTCGATCTGATAGCACCGGAGCGGGACCGTCGCTGAGGCAGTCCCCCAAAGTGTGCAGTGAGCCAAGCAGGGCCATGGAGATCCCAGCGTGACTGCAGCCGCAACACCTGCAGGGCATTGCCTGCAGCGCAGCGCGGGGTCGATCCGGGCCAAAGTGGCTCTGCTTTCCAGGCAGCTGAGTCATTTCCTCCCTCACCTAACAGGGAGAAATAACTTGGAAAGAAACTTCACTTTAGGTTTCACTGGTGTGATATCACCCTGACCACAACTGCCTTTTACAGTCCATTAACTGTAGGAAAAAAGACTCTCGAGCAGCTTTTAAATGCAACGAAACGGAGAGGCATCGTCCTACAAGCATTTATGTGCAGGGCTGTGGTCCCAGGGCACCGCGGCTCAACAGAGTGCCCTCACTGAGCAGCTCCGCACAGAGATGTGGTTTCTGGCGGAGGAGTGAAACCTCCTTCCCATCAGTGCTGGCCCTGTCCTGCTCTGGGAAGCGTGCTGGACAGATGTGTCCATCATCTGCTGATGGCGGCGGGGCCCGAAGGCGCGGCACAGAGCCGTGCCGGGGACTGGGAAAGGCTGTGCCCCGGAGGGCGGTGGGCACGGCAGGGCGGCCGGAGCTGAGGGAGCGCTGGGACTCCGCTGAGAGAGGGGTGGGGGTGGGGTGGTGCAGTGAGGGGTTGGACTCAGTGGTCCTCGAGGGTTTCTCCCAACTCGGGATATTCTGAGACACTTCCATTAACGCAGCCCTCGCTGCCCCGAGTCCCACCGTTCCTTCCCTTCCGCAAACCCTGCAGACGGTGCTCACCGATGCATCGGTGTTGCATAGTTCTGTTACTCTGATTGAGCTCAGTCCTTAATTCTCCCATTGCATTCAGATCCTTAATTAATTTCCTGTCCCACGGGGGTGCGAAATTCCTTCTCACCGTACCCTCCCACAACGCGCCGTCTGTATCAGCACGCACTGACACGGGGAGAAAGCAATGAAAAAAATAATCGAGAAAAGGGTGGTTTGCTCACCCCAGATGGGACTCGAACCCACAATCCCTGGCTTAGGAGGCCAGTGCCTTATCCATTAGGCCACTGGGGCTGCGCGGGATGCGCGCTCCCGCTCGTGGGAACGGCCCCAAACGCAGCGGAGTTCGGACTGCGCCCGCGGGGAGACGGAACGGACACGGGACGGACGGACACGGGGACACGGGGACACGCGCGGCTCCCGGCCGCGCAGCAGGATAACCCCGCAGGCGTCGAAAAGAAAAAGGGAAAAGAAAAAGGGAAAGTCCCGGCGGAGCAGGTCTTACAGGAGGGAACCAAACCCGGGCACGCGTGCTCCTTCCCCTTCTCTGGGCGGGTGGGAAGAGGGAGCGCCTGGAAAAGTAGGAGCACCCTATGCGACCACGAAGGGACTCGAACCCTCAATCTTCTGATCCGAAGTCAGACGCCTTATCCATTAGGCCACGCGGTCACGGCTCTGCAGCCCCCCCAGCTGTCCGCCCGCTGCCTTCCGGCAGCCGCTGGGCGCGAATCGGCCGCCGGGAGCGCGGGGGCCGCGGTGGGATGAACGGGACGAGCGCCTGGGGATGGGGCGCTCGTACATCACACAGCCGTACCGTCAGTCAAACGTGGGCCTCGGGGTCCGCTTCGGCTCCCGTCACCTTGCGAGTGCCGCATGGGTCTGCGCGTCCATCCGTCTCCCTCCGCTCTGGGCTACTCTTCCTTCTGCCATAGTCGCAGTGCAGGGGCTGCCAGCCGGGTTCTGGTCTCTAAGGAGAAGCCCTGTGCTCAGAGGGCACTGCTCTCAGACGTCGGTATGTGCAGAGCAGCACGAGGCCAGGAAGGATCCATAGGTCACGCCTTGCGAGCTGGGGAAGGTCTGGGAGTCCCATGACGAAGAGTGGTGGAGGAGACTGGGCAAACCAAGAGCAGAGGAACCCAGAAAAAGCAAATGAGACAAAGCTGTTTTCACTGCACAGGGGACTGAAGCCCAGGCACCCCAAGGTGAGCTGCAGGAGGAGAGATGTGCAGTGGAGCCCAGGGCCATGCTGCTGCAGCAGGATGCTAGATACCAAAAGCTGACAAGCAGCAGAACAGATTCGGTCCCAACCCGCTCCCACCTCACAGCTGCTGGGAGGCCTAGGGCACTTCTGGAGGGCATCACCTCCAGCACTGCTCCTGTCCCAGTGATGCTGCCCACATCAGTTCCAGCACCAACACGTGGCTCACCCCAACCCTTTCTGTTTGGTTCAAGCCCTACTGTATGGCCCATATTTTCCCTCCTCCTGTCCCACACAACTGGAGGTGCTCAGGTACCATCTGCAACATCCCAGGGAAATGGGATTTTCCAAGAACACAATAAGTGGGGCTGTTCCCCTACACTCAAAGTGTCACTCAGTGCACCTGAAGGCATCATTGGAGCTACAGCAGGAACACAGGCAGAGAGGAGGATGGCCGAAGGAAGGGCAGAGGGAGAGATAAAGTAAACAATCTCTGAGACTTTAATCTTAACAGTGAGGAGTTGGAGCAGCACCTCAGGAGGACAGAGTGTCAACTAGCAGGCAGAAACAACCTCAGTGATTCCACAAAGTGCTCAGCACTTAGGGAACAGGGACAGCAGCCTCTCTGCCCCCCAGAGCTAATTTTCCTATTCTGTTTTAGTGGTGTTGCATTGGTCCTGCAAATGAGACAAGATTTGCTGTTGAGTGGCTCTGGCTCCCAGCCTTTCCTTTATGGATATGAGCCCTTTCTTCTCTTTCCCTCAAATTGTTGGATTTAATGCTCTTCTTTTTCCTTTACCACAACTAAAGACCACTCCCAAGAGCCCACTGAGTGCGTCAATCCATTAGCAAAGTCTTCCTTCCAATGCAAATACAGAGTCTAGCTCCTGTTTACAAAACACCAATCCCTCATTAGTACATATCAAATCAACTTCTGCATAACAAATGACGTGTTTTGGAACCGCTGGTAAGGTACCCGGTACCATCTGCCTCTTTATTTGGAAGCAGGAGAAGATGCAGCGAGCGTTTATAGCTCTGCTCACACTTTCTCTTGGGACAGGTAAGTTCAAGAGAACTGGAAAAGCTTTGAGGAGCTCTGCTCTCATCTGTGCAAGAAGGGATCGATGATGTTTTCCGTACCTACACCCCATACCCTTCATTTCATACATGTCTCTTTCACAGGTTGAGATCTCTCCTGATCCTTTTCTAATTGAAGTGTATATTTTTGCCATTAGGAGCTGCTCCCAGGTATATCTGCACCTACTATGATGTCATTGAGTACCTGAACATCTCCTCTCACAGCAAGCTGCACACGCACATACTGCCAAAGACTCACTGGAAGGAGCCTATGGAAGTGATGATGGATTTTATGCTGATAGCAATTCTGTCTGTGGTAAGGATGCACAAATGTTGACAAGTCTTTATAACAGAAATCTGTGCCATTGTTAGATTGAGATCTGATCTTTCTGCAAGGCAGGACTGGGCCAGCAAGACCTGGGTGTTCCAGCTTCTTCCACTTCAGCTTTTTGCTGCTTGAAAACATTTTTTTTTGTTAAGGCTTGGAGGACTTTTGAACAACTCAGCCTGTCCTCCCAAGCTCAGTTTCCACAGTCTGTGCCATCCATGGCAGAAGCAGTGGCGGAGAGCCCCAGAGCTCTGCACGGGGTACAGCTAAGAAAATCAATTAAATACCTTCCATTTTGTTTCCCTAGGCTGAAAAGCTCCAGACCGTCACTTTTTATTTCGTGTTGAGCTTGGTAGGTTCCGTAAGACCATTTCTCTCCTGTGCCACCCAGCAACATGGCTGGGTCCGAGCCCAGCACTCACCTTTCCCCTTTACCTCCTTACCCAGGAGTGGACAAACACTTTTGCCACCTGGGACCCACGGGATTTCTGTAACATTTCTAAAATTGTTCTGCCCATGGATTCATTCTGGTCACCCCCAATCTTCATTTTGGAAAGGTAGGCTCTCATTTTATTTTTATCCACCAGCTTAAGAAAAATACTGTGGATGCAAACCGTTTGGTAATATTGCAGGAAATGGGATAAACTCAGTTACTAGCTATTCCTATAAACTAAACATAACCAAGAATCTCATATCTTACATTAATGGGAAAGAGCTTATATAAAGCACTTTGTGGGTGAGTAATTTTGTAGCATCTCCTGAAATGCAACATATAGGCTCTGTTAATCCTGAAGAAGCAGCTGGGGGGACAAGCAATGTGGTGGGATGAAAGTCACCCTTGGCAGTGTTGGGCATGGGCCCCCCAGCTCTTTGGCTGCAGGGGGAAAGGATGGGAGTCAGCATGCAGAGACAGCACTGAGCCCCTTCCCCACAAAGCCCACACATCCCTTTCCACTGCATTCCATGTCTGCGTGGCTGCACGGACCCATCCGAAAGGGACACTTACGGCCCCAGCTTCTGTGTGGCTGAGGATCATTGCAGCATCCTGCAGGTCTGTCACTCTTCGGTTTTGTTTCCTCCAGAGTGAACGAACAGAAGTCCAACTTGGAGTACATTGTCGTCACACACAACGGCACCTTCAACGCCAGCCTTCCCTTCCAGGTCACACTAACGTGCAGTTTGATGATCCTCAAGTTCCCCTTCGACACCCAGACATGCAACATGAGCATTGCTTCATTTCTCTACCCAGGTAAGTGGCAAGCTAAGTTTTAGCACAAACAAGCTAAATGTGCAATAGGAACAGCTGAGATGGGCCCTAGCTGACTCCTGGGTTCCCTTATCAGCACCACTTGCTGTTAGGGGAGTGCTGTTTAGTTAGAGGGAATATAAGCTCAGAGTTGTGATGTGTTGGCGTCTCTCCCAGCAACACATCTCCAAGCATCTGAGATGTTTGGGTAGTCACCCCTGGAATTGGTCTTCACAAGCCAAACGACAGCCTTGCTGTGACAAGCCTGATATTTGCTTACATCTGATTTTTGCTTTCCTCATGTGTATGCCTTGGTTGTATCCAACACAACCATGTGTATGCAACCTTGGTTGGAAGGGAAAGGAAGAGGAAATAACTGACCTCTGATAGAAACCTCAATTCTGCTCTCCTGTCCTCTTACAAACAGTAACAGACCTTTCCTTGAAAGTGAAACGGACACCAGCTGAGATGCTGGTAAACAGCCAGAGCTTCTTCCTAACTGATGGAGAATGGAAGTTCACCAACCTGAGCATCAATGAGTACATTGAAGAAATGGACGATGGAGAATTTCCTGTGATCACCTATATGGTACTGATGTTTATGTTATGTTTATGTTATGGTACCTATATGGTACCATTTTGTTTTGTGTTAATATTAAAAAAAAAAAAAAAAAAAAGTATGAAGCAAGGTAGCTTTCCACATTAGGGAGTAAGCATCCACTCAAGAGTGTGTTATCTCTTACTCAAATTTTGTCCATCTTCTTCAACAGATTTCCATGAAGAGACGACCCACTCTGTATATTCTGAACCTCATCCTCCCGACGTGCGCCCTGTATCTGCTTGACATGGCTGTGCTGTTTGGACCCAGCTCTCTCGAGGAGAAAATCAGTTTCCAGATTTCCATCATTCTTGGCAGCTCCATGTTAGCTGTGATTCTCAACAATATGCTTCCAACTTCCTCCAACGAACCGCCCATAATAGGTACTCATCTTTATTGATGGCATCCTGCATATTACTCAGGTAACAACTCTAAGAAAATCGCTGGGCATTCGCGGGCACATTCATGAGCAACGACATCATGAAAAGTTACCCTTCACCAGCTGGCTGCAGACAGCAATTTCCTTTCTCAGGGAGATTACAGATTCAACAGAATCGTGCCTGTTATCAAATGCCTTATTTGCTTTCCTGTTGTTTTGCAGTGCTCTTTTTCTTAGGCACCTTCCTGCTGATGATCATGGCTGTGCTGGACACCTTCTTCCTGTTGCACCATCAGCACAAATCCCTACGCTTGGGCAAAGCTTTCGGAACAGTCCAACAAGGTAAAGCAACCCAAAAATTCTGAAACAAGCAGGCTGGGTTGCCTGCACCTTACCTGCAGGTTCGAGTCAAGGTGGGTTTCCTCCGGGTGAGAAGTGCTCCAGTCAGTGCCCCTGGCAGCCACCCACCGCCTGCCCCATCCCAGTGTTTGTTGTTTGCAGGTGTGCACACCGAGCCACCAATGACAAACCAGGCCATGAAACATCCTACCAAGAAGACCCAGGAAAAAGTGCAGCAAACCAAGCCCTGCTGGAAAACAGCGGAACAGGACCCGGTTCTGATAGTTCTGGAGAAGGTGCTTCTCTACAGCCATTTCTTCTTGTCACTCTTTTTTTTTGCTGTTATCTCTATAAAATGGAGCAGTTAGGGACCAGCTCTGTGTGATGCTCTCTCAGTCTTTCTCCATTTTATTTCTTCCAAGCCCTCTGCTGTATTTTCTTTTACTGCTCAATTCAAACCAGTTGTTTCAGCTGCCTAAATTAGAAAAAACAAAAAAACCAAACCACAACCAGAGCATAAAGTCCGCATGGTGTGTGCATTGTACTCTAGTTCTGTAAACATACATATACTCTGAAAGTGCTCCGTGGGCTAACAAAGTGATTAGATAAAGCTATAATGGAACTCGAAGAGAATACCTTAATTCTATCCAATAATAATTCTTACAGCTCAGAAAAAGGGACCTAAAGCCCTTTTTCATTTATGGAGATGTTTTCATTTTGAGGAGAGACATTTAAGAATTCCTACTCAGATAATTAAATAAATCAACCAAAGTACGAAGCCTTTGTTCTATTGTTTCTGTGATTTTCAGTGAGATCTGCAACATACAGAAATCCAGACTGGTAGGATCACCAGGATTATGGGGGAGCAACGCTTGGGATGTTCAAAATATCATACTTCTGAACTTCTGTATCTCACCTAATTCCTTAAACTCCTATTGCAACTGCACCTAAACCAACACAGCCAACCTGGAAAGCAGCCCCAGCACACTGCCTCTAAAACCTCTGAGACAGACATCACCCTGCAGATCACTACTAAACATAACTTATTTTGTGGCGCTGGAGTGCAAGTCTATCTCCTAAGCAACAATTCATCTGCAAAGGCAGAACCACATTCCCTGTACTACGTGGTTACAAAGGTAAAATTACAGAAGTTGTGTGAGGACTCAATGTTAGTATCAGATCTAGCTCAGATCTTAGTACTCGCCGTAAAACCAGCTCACCAGTAAGAGACAAAATCCATGAAAACCACCCTCTTTGTGCATTGCTGCGTGGTTCCATATTTCTCAAAACCTTGCAACCTCACAGCTAAAGATCTAAGCCACAGACAGGAGGGAAAACACTTTTATTTAAGAGATAATTCATTCTGACAGTCATCAGATAAACTGTTTCCAAGCCGGTTTACAGATCAGCAATGGGTCTGTGTGGCCAGTATGGATACTTCTCCCTGTCCAGTCTGGTTTCAGGAAAAGCTTCATGCAAGTCTTCATAAGTCATCTGTTCAAATGGAATCATGCTTCTGAGCTTCTGAAGCTTGAAGTGAGAGCAGAGACAAATATGTTACAAGTCACTCATCAGCAAGAAAGAGCAAAGCACACACAGGAAAGAAAAAGAATGTGCCAAGCAGGGTTAAAGAGAATATTCACAAAGCAACATCCATACTTACTTGCTGCTCATACTCAGCAATACGAGCTTTGGAAGCTTTCACATACTCCACAATGTTCTTGGTCTGTAAGAAAAAAGAGGGCATGGCGAACATAGTTATAATAAAGATGTCAATCTAGAGTGAACCTGCAACACCACCTTCAAAGCTCATGTTACAATTCTCTGTCATTACACAAGCACACAAAATCTTGAACAAAATCCAAGCCCTTCCCAAAGCAAAAAATCTTTTGCTTAGCCAAAAGCCAGAGACATGCAAAGAAAGACCAGAGAGCCATACTCTCAGGCTGCTCTGCCTGTGCAGACGCCAGTACAGAACACACCTTCCCTCTCACCCCTTCCCATCTTCACAGGACTCAGAGACAAGTCTGGCATCCAGGAACAGTTCAAACACTTACAGCTTCCTGCTCTTGGGCATCAATTTTGGCAGTTTGTGTATCCACTGGTTCAGGGACCTTCAGTGCACTGAACTGGAAAGCAAAGAAAAATTTGAAACAGTTTGATTTACATAACCCTGCGTGTGAAAGGTGGTTCTCTCTAGCAGCAGGGGAGTGTTCCTTCCACTCTTCCTATGACACAACATGCTCACAAACGCATAGCTTAATGAGCTTTTAAAAAATGATCTCTGCATCTTGATTGCACATTTCTCAAGCTGCACCACTCACCTGTATGCTCAAAGTGAGCTATTACATATTGCACATCATCACCAGGACACGTTGTACTATGCATACTCATCACAGCATTGCACACAGCAAAGCACAGCACCACGAGGAAGTCTAACACCAAAGACGTATCCTATCATGGACAGATTTTCCTCAGAGTTTCCACATCTATCTTTTGGTTATTTTGGTCTTATAGCAGCCAATTTCCATGCTGCCAGTGACATCATGTGACCTTCAGCAAATGCTTGGCTCATTCTTTTTCGGTTCATTTCTAAATGGGATGACAACCCCACAGGCATCAAAGTTGGCTTTGCACATTTCTTAGTCTGCAGACCTGCACTTATCATTTTCTACTATTCAGTAAATTAAAGAAATACACCAAATGTTTGTTTCAGGAGAGGCACTACTCAAATTCGCTCCTACAGACAAAAGAACTTACTGAGTTTTCTTTCTTTCAGGTGAGTGACTGATCTGCAGGACATAAAACAAAGGAAGCTACTAGCCAAAACTGAAAACACCTTCATTCTGGTGCTTTCCACTAAAAGATATTCCCTGCTTAAGCCTCCATAGAGTAACAATGTTCAGCTGACAAAGACACCGACCTTCTTCTGAAACTCATCCACCATGCCAGCTTTAGCAACAGCAGTCTTGTAGTGAGCCCAATCAATGGCAGGGGGTTTCTCAGGCAGTGCAGCCAACCTAAGGAGAGGAAGGACAGCGGTCACCACCAGTGCCAGTACAAACCTGACGCTATCACTTGCTCCCTCCTACTTTCAAGAGAGTTAACAGACCCTGCTGAGTTGAACAGAAAATATCTACTTATTAATAACTAGTGATGAACCAATTCTGTAAACTCCCTTACCCCTGAAACAGATTTTTCCCTATGGACAAATTCAACCCGCAGCCCCTCCCACTTCATGCTGCTGCACAGCATCTCTAAGAGACAGCTTTATAAGAAACCACAGGCAGCTTTCACACGTTAGAGGCAAGAAGCGATGCTAACTGTAATAGCAAGCATGCATCAAGCAGGAGATGTCAAAGCACCTAGAAGAACCATTGTTTGTATAGCATTTAACAGAGCAACGAGGTTTTCAAAGCATTTCATTTTTCTTAAATCCACCAAAGCGAAGCGCTTTCACAGAACTAGTTTTTTTCACATCGCAGCCGCAGTTTAACTCTGCGGAGGATTAATCAAAGAAGATTCACTACAAGAAACCGCTACCGCCTGCCCTGAAGGCGACTGCCGTGCCGTCTCTCGGATCACCGTGGGAAACTACAACACGAGACAGCGGCCAGAAGCGCGGATCCGCGAGAGGCTGCAGGCGGCACTCACCGGGCGGACAGCGCGTCGCTGCGGGTCTTCAGGGCGTTGAACATGGCGCGCTGGTTGGCGGGCACCCTCTCGGCGAAGGCCGCCCAGTCAATGGCCTTGATGGCAGATCTGCGGGCCGCCATGACGCTGAGCTGCCGCGAGAGGAGAGCGGGTCACGGCAGGCAGAGCCCGGAACCGGCGCCCCCCGGAGTCCACGGAACTCGGGACTCCTTCTAGACCCCCACGCCGCCTACCAGGGGTCGATGGATGGAAGCCAGCCAGCCTCCCGCTCGCCTCGCCTCGCCTCCCCTTTCCTCTCCTCCGCTCACCCGCTCACCTTCACCGACCGCTACCGCAGTCCTCTGGCGCTGCCGAGCGACGCACCGGAAGTCCTGCCCCGTCGGCCAGTCAGAGCACAGCGCTAGCGGAAATGCGTCATGCAGCTCCGCGCACGGAAATGCTTGGTGCGCCGGAAGCGGCGGCAGCGGGGATGGCGGCGTGGGGGCGCTGAGGGCGGCCGCCATGGCGGAACTGGCAGCGGCGGAAGGGCCGCCGCGGGGCCGCACACCCAGTCCGGGCCCCGGGGGAGTGCCGGGACCGCCCAGCCCTCGCTCGGCCGCGCCGGGGTTCTCCGGCGCTATGCTGAGCCCGAGTCCCGCCGGTGCGGCCCGGCCGCCCTCCGCCTCCAAATGGGTGCGGCTGAACGTGGGCGGAACGTACTTCGTGAGCACCCGACAGACGCTGTGCCGGGAGCCCAAGTCCTTCTTGTGCCGCCTCTGCTGCCAGGACGGGCCCGAGCTCGGCTCCGACAAGGTGAGGCCCGGACCTCCTGCTCCCACCGGGCCCGGCCAGGGTCTACGGAGTCCCGGCACCACCCCGAGTCGTGCGTCCGTTGCTGCAGCCCCCGCCGCCTCCTCGTTCCTCCGGAGCGCCCCAGCGCCCTTCTGCTGCTACTGCACGCAGCAGGGAGAGAAACTTCCCCAGAAACAGAGATTTAAATGATGCGCCGCCCCCAGGATGTGTGTGGTTTTTCGTTGTATTTACTTCTGCTCTTAGAAAAGATCCCAGTTCAAGAGCTTTACTGGACATAAAGCTCTGCAGTCGCTGTAGGTTGTTAACATACAGGTTTTACAAACAGTTATTATTACTGCAGGGTTTCTATAGTGTCTGTACAACATTTTATATCTGCTTAAGTAGAAGTTAAATCCATGTTATGGCCATAGTAATGGTTACCCGTCTCAGCAAAGATAGGAGATGACATTTTGGAAGACCGCAGCATTTCATTGCCTTGGAGCAGGCTGCCTAGCAGGACCTGCATTGCTTTAAAGTGATATAAGGAAATGGCATGAAAAACAGCCACGCAGGCTTTATCAGCCCTTCCATGCTGCTTCAGGAAATGCTTTTAATTGTGGATTGCTGGTAAGGTGATGACATTGTATGCCCAGCTGCTGGAGACTGTTCAGAGACAGGACTGGTGCACTGCAATGGGCATTTCCAGTAATTCAAAGAAAGGGGGGGGGGGGGGGAATGTACTTTGAATTATCACATGCTGTTAATCAGAACTGGAAATCCAAATGTTCTTCCAAGTTTCTTATTTAAACTAGCATGGAAAACCAATTTAGGCAGAACATGACTGCCAGCTTTTGTATTTTGTTATTGCAGTGAAGCAAAACTGCTAAGCCCTGCTCGTCTCTTCACTTATGTGAGCTTGTTTGTGGAAGTACTGACTGGGAGACATCCGCCAGCGTTATGAGCTGCAGCATTTACAGCTGAGTTCAGATACTGAGAAAAATGCTGGCTGAAGCATAGAGTCACAGATACGCTTTTCACAGGCAAAGGAATCCAGATTCTCAAAGAAAAGCTGTTCAGTGTATAATTTAAAAATGAAATGCCATGCCATTTAACTGTGCCTGCTTCATTTCTGTGCACGCTCAACAGGATGAGACAGGAGCGTATCTCATCGATAGAGATCCCACGTATTTTGGTCCAATACTGAACTACCTCCGACATGGGAAGCTCATCATAAACAAGGAGCTCGCAGAAGAAGGTATGAGAAACACAGAAGAACTGCAAGCACTGTTTTATAGCACTTTTCAAACAGCATCTCTTCTCCCCGAACAGACAGCAGTTCTGAACAAGCAAGGAGCCTTGGTGACCTTCCCCTGAGCGAGGCTGCATGAATGATATTAGAGATTGTACCACGGGGTTTCTTAATCATAGGGAAAGGGGAATAATCTTTCTTAAATGTTCTGTTAACCACAAAGGGAGGCAGCTTGTTTTCTTCCAGTCTAGGAGCGTGAGGTCAGAGGCGCAGTCCGTTTAGCACCCAGGGCTTTTCTTACACGTGGGAAAGATTTGGAGTCAGTAGCAGGTATTGCACTCTTGTAGCTGAACTGTCTTTGTTCTGCTCTTTATAAAGTAACAGATTGCCTGCTTTTGATTCCTTCCTTAGGGGTACTGGAAGAAGCTGAGTTTTACAACATTGCGTCGCTTGTGCGGCTGGTGAAGGAGCGGATACGGGATAATGAGAACAGAACCTCTCAAGTAATGCACATGGGTTTTGCATACTGAAGTCAGTCATTTTCTGTAGCACGGTAGGAGGATGTAGCTATAGGTGCTTCCGGTAGAAGTTCTTTGGTTTGTCTCTAACAGTGACAATCAGTGTTTTTAGTTAAACCAAACCACAGCTGGGATAGATGATCCATTGTGGTTTCACAAGTACAGGCTACTAAGTCATCTTACTAATACTGCGGGGAAAGACAATGAACATTTAAAAGTGCTACAGACAAAGATAGGGAAACGAAACAGACTGTTTTGGGAGGTAAGGAGTAGTTCAACTCTTCCTTCTCTGAACTACGTTCTGCCCTTTATATCAGTCTCTGCTGCTGAACTGATATCCAAATCCCAGTGTGTTTGATTTAAAAAACAGTAAATGGCTTTAAAAGACAACAAAGTATTGCTTTCACTGGCACATAAGCACCTGGAAGGATTTTAAAAAGCATGCTAACTCCTTGTAGCAGTTTTAGAATCAACTGGATAGTCACGAGAATGAGACCTCAGGAAGCCCATATGGTTGAAACTTCCTCAAACAGCAAGCAGACAGAGCAGGAGGCCCTGTAAAAGGCTAATTAGTTTCCTAGCTTGATACTAGTACAACAGTTGCTAAACTCCTGCTCATTTTTATTCTCCATTCTTTAGGGACCTGTGAAGCATGTATACAGAGTCCTTCAGTGCCAAGAGGAAGAGCTCACACAGATGGTGTCCACCATGTCTGATGGGTGGAAATTTGAACAGGTACTAGTAAAAAATGTACAAATGTGTCCGGTGCTTCTGTAAATACTTGCCTTACAAACACACTTTGGGAAAGACTGTGACACTGGAATATGGGAAGGGATGTGACCTGTTGGCACTTCAGGTCAGAACAGGTCTCTCTGAACAGTTGTAGCAGAAAAGGCAATTGCAGGAATAAAGCAGAAGTCAAGATTTACCAATAGAGTCATCCTTACCTTGGCTGTCTTCTGTCACACAGCTAATCAGCATTGGATCTTCATATAACTATGGAAATGAAGACCAGGCAGAATTCCTCTGTGTTGTGTCTAGGGAACTCAACAATTCTACCAATGGCATTGTCAAAGAGCCCAGCGAGAAGGCAAAGGTGAGGCATCTCCTCAAATGCGTTGTCTTGAATTCCCTTATGCAAAGAAAAAAAATACATCTTACATCAGGAGATCCACAATTTGCAGTATACCTACACACATATACATATATTTTTTTTCTGTATACTAGCTTTCATATTTTCTCCTGTGTGCATGACCTTCCCTCTCTTAAAAGATTTTCTGGTTTACCATGCATTCAAATCAAGGGGGGAAAAAAAAGAGGAAAGACTTGGAAAAAAAGAGGATTTTGTGACTGAAGGATACTGTGGGAAGAAGACTGACATTGTTTTTCTCCTTCAGTCCATGCATTTTCCCCAGGACAGCAACAAAAGATGACATTTTTAACTCCTGGCAGGCAGCTAAAGCATTTCTAGAGAAGAGACTCTGTTTTAACCAGCCTGTCATTCGGTACAGTGGCACAGAAGCCAACAGGCTACTCTCTCATTCCTTCTCTTGTTAGACTACCTTTCCTTCCTCTACAAAAGCCAAAGATTTGGATCATGAACTTTGGCTTCTAAACTTGTCTGAGTTATTTATAGAGGCTCTCTTCTTTTTCAGATTCTTCAAGAGCGAGGATCTCGGATGTAATTCAAGTGTCCACTCCTCTAGAACTCCCAGATGTCAAAAGGGCAATCTAGTTGGACAGAGCATGTCTCCACAATGCAAACTTGCCCCTGTACAGTAACCAAGCTAATGCAAAGCAAAGCCAAGCCAAGCCTGTCCTACCAGTTATGAGTAATTCTAGTCCTAACCAAAGGCTTTCCTTCTGTTCTGGAGAACAAGAAAGGACAAAACTCTTCCAGGTGGATTTCAGTCCGTTCCACAAGTATTTGTTTTATTTTTTGGCCAGTGCTGTACTGAATTTTTCCAACAACAGCTGTGCTGGATTCCCAGTTGGATTCTTTGCAAAGGTTGCTTTAGGTCCACACAGCCTTGTGGTCAGTCCTACCTTACACAGGCTGCCATGGGTGGAAAGGTCTGTTTGACCTGTGCCTATGTCTACAACCATCAGAACAGTGCAGAGATCTTGCAGTGCTCCCTCCTGACAGCCAGTCCCCCACAGATCAGAACAGGGCTTTAAAAGAAGGAACAAAGAAGCTACTTGTAAGAAACAATTTTTTTCATTCTTGCTTTGTATTTGTTCCTTGTACAATTCCTAGGAGCTGAGCTTCGCTAATAAGGGGAGCGGAGTTACACGTGCATCTAACACAGGTCTTGCTGTTAGCACTATCATATATGGGCTCCTGGCGTTTTCCAAAGCCCATTTCTTCTCATGCATGCAAACAGACCTGTGTTCACCTAGAACAGTGTCAGAGTAATGGTTCTGTCCTGTATACCTCTCTGTTGAAGAATAATGGTGACATCTTCCCCGTCGACACCTTGCCATGACCATATGTCTTAGCCTGGTGCAAAATCACAAGATTAGGGACTTGTTCCAGCCAAGTTCAGCTTTGCCTTGTATCCAGCAGCATGGGCTCTGTCACCTGCCTTTTCACCAAGGGAGGACTGTGGGCAGAACTTCTTTTGTACTGTAGCAAGCAGGTAGGTTTGATTTTACCTGCGGGACTCGTTACAGAGGAGATCCGCTATTTACATACAGCGATTTAACTGCATCTTCCCTCGTGTCCCCAACCTTTAAAGAGATCAGCTCAAATTACACAGGGGCATCAAGAGCTGGGGGTGTGGGGGGTGTGAAAAATTGCCAAACTGTTGTAATATATTTTGTCCAATGTGTCAACTTCTGTGACTTTTTTTGAATGCCTTGGATAGATGTGCAAAATGTTCGTTTGTGCCTCTCTTGAACTCTAATCTTAGCCAAATTGCAGTCACTGTTTCCTCTATGTTAAGCTGTGCCATCCCTAACCAAGGGCATGTCCCTCCTAGTCTGGTAAATGAAATTTCTTAGGAATTTGCTGCTGTGCGTTTTTCTCCTTTCATCCCTGCTTTGTTCTTGTAGCCCATGTGTCCTGGCACTTAGTTTTTCTTGAGTCAAATCCCAAACTAATGCTACATGCAGAGCTTCAGAGATGTTGGAATTTGCAGACATGGATGAGCACAGAGCAGATGATTCTCAATAAGGTATCAGAAATTCCTCCCCTGGTTTGAGGAGTTTGGTTCTTTTATGGAAAAATTCAGCTACCTGTGGTCTCCTTATGGTATTGAGATGGAAATAGGAAGGTCACCTGTTTTATCACTTACTGCTGGCAGGGCCTAAGGATAGCAAAATGTTACCAAAGGTCTGACAGCCAGTTCAGTAAACAAGGCGTACAGCAAAGGCACAGAGCAACACAGCTGCACTTGGCCTCTTGGTACATGCTCATGCCTGTCCTTTTCCATCCTTTGCCAATGTTCCATGCTTTCACTGGAGGCTTTGCCTCGTTCACAAGAATTGCCAGTCAGTTATCCATGCCAGCTCAGTCCTGGTAACAATAGACCATGCCAAATGTCTTTGAATTCACATTCTGTCAGTTACAGGCTGTTGAAACACAGCTGGCTTGCCATTGTGCTGAAGAACCCAGCTCTCCTCCTTCCCTCCATCTTCCCCATTTATAATGTAGTGAGATGGTATTGGTGTGATTAGACCATACAGCTTGGCTGGGCCTAAATAACACTGTGGTATTATAGATATCTCTCCTCTGCCAGTATCTTGTAGTCTCAGTCATTGTGCTCTCAGCTGAGAAATCAAGAAGAATCATCGTAATGCAAGTTAACAGCCTGAAAAGCCCTCTAATTCTCATATTCATTTATGTTCTCTGCCTTCCTTGGAGGAGGGAGTTTCTGGAAACTGGAAGGAAATACCAGACTGAAGGTGACAGGGACTGGGTGAGCTGCATCTGTCACATCAGCGCCAGCTGAACACCTCAAACTCACAGCAACACTGATGAGCTCTCCTGAAGGGAGACATTCTGGCCAGTACAGTTCAACCAGGTAAAAGCAATACCTTGTTCCAAAATGCCATATATGGTGAAGCCCACGAGAGATTGCCTCATGCAAAAGCGATAGCATCACTCCCTACTGAGCCACAGAGAGCAAAAAAAAAAAAACTACCACGAAAAAAACCACCATTATCAGCTGAGCAGAGCTGCTGTTTAACTCATCCATGTGAAAGACCATCAAGGCTGCACCTTGGATCTCCCCTCCACACTGCTCTCTGCAGCAAGGGCTTGTCAGTGTATTCGAGTCTCCTTGGCTTCGGTTGCACAGGCCTTGAGTTCGACAGAGTTGACATACAAAACCAGTCTGTTCCTGAATAGCCCTTATTGTTGGATGATACTTAGGACAAGGCACAAAGACCATGCAGATACAATCGCAGGGGAGGATTTCTTCTCCCCTGATAGCGCTAATGACCTGTACCCCAGACCAAGGGCCACTCAGCATGATGCCAGCTGCATCTCTATTTGCTCAGCATAGGGCGTTTCCTTCTGTTACTTTTCACTCACTCACAATTATATCAAGACTAACAATGAAGATGAAATTTGCCCCATTGACTCTAAGGTAGTATGCTGTGAGAAGGGGGAGAGCTACTGGATATCCAAGAGTGTTTGTACCTCTTGGGAGAGTTCACCTCAAAGCATTAGTCCTGGGAATGGAAAGTGTGACGTTTGGGTTTTGGTTTTTTATAGGTTTTTCCAGTGGCCTGGTTGTTCTATTATGGCAAGACTGGAAATAACCTTTTACAGTGTCTTTGTTTCTGCATATTTTTAAATAGATTTTCTCAGGGGTGACTGAATGGGCTGAGGCAGAGGGAGTAGTGAGATGGAGCAGACCCCAGCCCGGTAGCTGGGTTGTGGGCTCCTCCTTTGCCTGCAAATCCAGAGGTTTTGTACAGTTTGTCACCTGTCAGTGCCCTTTGCTACTGTTTCTCTTTGTTTATTAAATGTGTTTGAATAACAGTTGAGATGCTGCAATTAATTTGTTTTTCCAATAAAGATTCTGAAATGGGTTTGAAGCATATGAAGAGTGTCTGCAGCCTGTGCTTTCTCTGCATCCATTTGCAGCCTTTCCAACACAGATTTTACACTTTAAGTACCTGCATGTGGTTCTCATTCATTTGTGGTGGCTCACCAAGAGGAAAAGTCTACTTAGATTTTGCAGTCCTTCTTGGTAACTTTCAGAGAAGGAAGGCAAATCTAAGCATTTTTCTGATTTTCTTACACATAAGAGAATCTGAGCTACATCTATTTTTTACCATTTCCACCGACAAATAAGAATGCTAATACAAGCACCAAGTACGAGTAGTTTAAGGATGGGTTCTTTGGGCCAATTTTCATTTGCTAGCCACCTGTTTGGTTCAGCATGTGCAGCAGAAACATCTGGCATTTCCAACAGCATCGCCCCTCCCTGTACTACAAAGCCCCCCAAACAGCTGGAGAAGCTCAAACAGTTCTCCACTTTCCCACTGAAGGAAAAGGCGCAGCGATTCTTGCTTCACCAAGACAAATGCAGCACAAATAAACTGCCATTTCTAAAGAGCTTCCCAGGTGTTCTGAGCAGACAACTGTCAGCTGAGATTTCTCTGGGCATGCAGCGTTGGCTCTGAAACCTTGGGGGAGTATTTAAAATAGGCGATCTGTTACCTCCACCCTGAATGCCACAGCATTCCTCATGTTTGTGGTGTTAGCAGACCTGGAGATAAGTTGAGATTTAGTTCTTTTCCTGTTTATGGAACACTGCAGCTCATAAACGTGTGAAACAGAGGTGTCGTATGATTGGCAAACAGCGGGAGGCAAAGAGACAACATGTTGTCAAGATTTGGTGACGCCAGAATTTAGATAACAGCAATGATTCAGGCCTGACACAGGGAGGGGAAAGGAGGAGGAGGAAAGATGAGTAAACAGTGGGGAAACTTGGATGAACTTAGTCTTACTTTGAACCAGAATTTGCTGCTGCCCACTGCAGCTGCTCTGAGGCTGAGCTGTAAAGCAGCTGAGCAGGGAGGGCTGGCACATCCCCAAACAGGGTTTGGCCCCACAGCTGTGCAAGATGAGACACTCACCACATGGTGTCGTGCAAGGGGAGCATATGGGCATGGCAGCTGAAAGCAGAAATCACAGCTGATCCAACCACAGCTGAGCCACTCCAGTTGGTTCAGGACACCTACAAACCTTCATGGCCCACCCCTGTATCTCCATGCCAGACAGGACTGCAGCTTAGTTGAGGCATCTGTCAGCATCTAAATTTGTGGCCTAGGGCTCCAGAGGAGAGTGGAAACCACAGCTGCATTTCTCCTCTCTGCAAGTCCAAGAGATGACAGAGCTCTGCCCACAGCCATGAGTTCATCTCAGCGCCCACACGCTGTCTTGGTTTTCACATAACTGTGTGGCTCAGCCCACTGTTCACGCTCTCCTGCACCCTGGGCAAAGTCACATCTATTTCCAGATTGAAGGCTCATAAATATTTGTAACCCAGATTGCTGACTTGTTTGGGAAATAAGCACCTTAGTCACATTCTTCCACCTAGATCTGGTTTTGAAATGGTCACTGAAGATTTAACCCAAATTTTATCCCAGCAAATGACCCCTGCAATACTTGATTCCTCCAGGGCTGGAGAAAGATATTGGTTTCTCCAAATCACAGCAAAGAAAAGTGCAATCCCCTCCCAATCACCTCCAGGCACCAGGATAGCACCAATCTGCTGTGTGTGTGACCAGAGAGTCAGGCTCTAAATGAGAAAAGCAGTCAAATGGGTCTCTTTAGAGCTGGGAAACACCTAATGAACAGCCACCCCCATCCTAACACTGCTAATAGTTTTCTTAAATTTGAATACAAGGGAACATATGGGAAGTAAGAACGGTTTGGTTGTATTTGCTAAACCAAGGGCTTTTACCCATAAAACTAAGGGTGGAAATCACATTTTGCAGTTTCTGCCCCCGCGTCCAGAAACACAACCCTAAGCACAGAGTGACCTGCATTTCCCAGCAGGGTGAAGAATTCCAGTCCCTTTCCCAGGAATCACAATGGCAAACACTGCAATGCTTCTGGGTGTGGGCAGGAGGAGCAGGACCTGACAGGGACGACAACAACAAAGCATCTGCCAAAAGCAGCATGGCCAAAGCTTCATCCTTGCTAGCTGGAGCCTGAAAACCTTCTGGCTCTCTCAAAATCATGACCCATCAATCCTGGCCGTTCACCCTCAAACTCTTATCCATCTTAACAGAATACTTCATCATAATGAGAAACTATTAACAGAAAAAGAGACAAAAATGACTAGCAATGAAGGTTCAAATCATCCCTACGCTGCAGCTGAGGCAAAAAGGAAAGGTGCTGGACCTGAGCTACACATAACCCAACATAAAGGAAAATAGGGACAGTGTTGGGAGGACTGCAGCATACTAGGGCAAGAGGCATCCCTAAAAGAGAGCAACGCCTATTTACCATCATCCCAGAACAGGGCTGTTTCCCTGTCTGCAGCCTCTGCACAGCTAACAGCAGTGGGATTTACACCTCATCCAAGCAGTCAGCCATTAACTCCCCATTAATAAGAGCGAGAGCCAAGGTGGCCAAGCACATCTTTCTCAGACTGGGCTCTGAAGCCATCCTTCTGTTCACCAAACATCCTCAGTGCATGCAGGACAGCCACAGGCTGCATGGGGAGGAACACAGCAGTCAGGAGGGCAAGGGCCAGTATGCAGGAGAACCACATGCAGTCACCCACCAGAGCAAGCTGTATCTTGCCAAATTCTTCCAAGCCAACAGAAGCTGTCAGCACCTGCACCACTGACATCACTCACTTCAATTCCCATTTCCCATCTCCAAGCCAAAGTCTTCAGTACTGGGTGAGAGTTATTTTTGGCCACCCAAAACCAATATCCCACCTGGTACTCCACCTGTGTCTTGGTAATTGATGAGCTCAGGGCAGTCAGGCAGAGCTGAGAGCAAGCCAAGAAAATAGGGACAGTACTGGGACATCTGCCCGAAGGCTGTACTAGGCAAGGAGCCAGGCTTAAATGCAACTGGGAATCAAAATAGGTGGGGAGAATGTGGGGGAGGGGAGGGGAGTGGAGGGGAGTCGAGTCAGATGAGGCTGCTCAGCCTAATTAGAAACTTATTGGTGCCAGCAAGGCTCTGATACCCTTTGCAGGGGGAGAAGGTGGGAGCAATGCTGTGACCTTGAGAAAGTCACCTGGCACAAAACAAAGGATGAAAATGAACTTAAAAAGTCACTTACAGAGCTGTTTACCAAGAGAAGTGCTTGGCCTTCCTACCCCCAACAGACACAGAGTGACCCCCCCCCCAGATTTTACCGCCTGGCTCTGTTTATAGTAAACATCTTGCCTCTGTGCACACAGCCTATTTTACATTCATAAACACATGCCCAGCTCACACCAGGCTGAGGTGGGGCAGCAGGAGGATGCTGCATGCCATGAAGCAGGGTGCAGAGTTAGTGTACTGTGAACTAGAGAACATTTCTTCCTGCTGCCCTCCCTGTTCCCAACCATAGGTATCTTCTGGGCTCAGAGCCTCCCCCTGTACACACTCCTGGGTTCTCTTCCTGCTGCTGTGACCCTATGAGAAGTTTGGGACAAGAATTGGTCTGCTCTTCCCTCCACAGGGATGCCCACAGCTGCCAGCTCTCACTGAGGCTGACATATAGATACTGTCGTCATCTGCAGGCTGAATGTAAAGCTCTTCTGAGGAGGGGAGCTGTGCAAATGCCCCATGTGAATGCACACAGAGCCACCAGCAGCCCTGCTGTGTGCTCTCATCGCAGCAGCTGCAGTCCCCCATCACAGCTGAGGGAAACAGAAGCACGGGAATGGGAAACGAGCACTGTTCGAGCACTCCTGATGTGCTGCCATAAGGAAAAGCTCCAGGCCTGCTGCGCTGCCCAAAGGAAATCCAGCAAAGATTGAACTCAGCATCTTGATGGTCACTGCAGCAAAAACAACATTCAGAGCCGAAAGAGAGAAACTGAAGAGGATAGGTGAAGCAGAGACGGAACTGCTGACCAGTTCGGCTCTGACCAACACACAGTTTGCAGCAAGCATTCATGCATGCCTTGCTGCGAGCCCCAATCCAAATCCCAGTGCAATCAGTATGAGACAAGCATTCGAGCTTGTGAGAATCTGCCTCAGCTTTGTGCTGGTCCTGGTCTCGACACAACTGAGGAACAGGCTGAGGACAACATGGCCGCAGCAGAGCATGCAGCAGCCTGCCACATTCACACTCGGGAAGGATTAAAAGCCATTTTTGCGAAGCCATTCGGCAGGCATGGCCAGCTGAGCGCTGAACAAACCCACTCCCTTCACTCTGCACAGGCAGAAGGCGGTGAGGCACCACCTGGCAGCCGACTGCAAGTCCCAGAGCTGCTCACAGCCTGAGGCCTGGCTGATGCTGAAGGTTCGGAGGCCACAGGGATACACTGCCCGGCGGCCAGCAGCAGGCAAAAGCCATGGCAAGTGCGTGACCCCCAGCTCTACTCTCCCCCGTGAGCCTGAGCTGCAGAAATCTGCTGCTGGACACACTCAGATGTTGGACAGGGTGGCTGGGAACAGAGAGGAGCTGTGCTTCTGCCTTTTTTTGGGGGTTTGCTGTTGCCGGGGAGAGGTTTTAGGCTGTCATCCAGCAAATTCAAACCAGAGAGACAAGCACTTGAATTAGTTGCATTATCTGCACCCAGCTAAAGTGGACAAAGGATTAAAGTATGCTGAGCACCCCCACCATGATTTGCATGTGAGAGCCCCTTCCCACGGGCCCCCTCTGCTTGCAGCCCTTTTTTCCCTGGCTGCAAGCCAGCCGGCACAGCAGCCCTGTTTACAGAATGATGCTGAGGGTAACGTTGCAAAAGACTTCATCAGAGCTTTTGGGCACTGCTGAAGCAGAAGCACCCCGCACGCCACAATGAGCCACCCGCACTGCGCTTCAGCCCCTCACGTCGCCAGGCCTGGTCCAGCCCCAGGTATGGAACTGATTCTGAGCGTGTTGCCATGGCAAGCTTGAAATAATGAGCTAGAA